TCCAGGCTGGTCTCAAACTCCTGACCTCTAATGATCCACTCACCTTAGCCTCCTAAAGTGCTGGGATTACAGGTGTGAGCCACTGCACTTGGCCTCTTCCGTTTAATTTCCTGTTGAATGCCATGTCCTGCTCTGTTTTAACATGAATGGCTGTCAGGACTAATTTTAAAAATCTGATGCGGGGAGGCAAAGGATGAATTTTTATTTCAGAAAACCACCAGATCAGCAGTTCTGAACCCCGTGACCCACAGAGTTCCCATCCACAAGGCAGATCACATGACCAGACAAGTTTGGGGATTCAGAGCATCTCCATCCCCCTTTTGGGATTCAGGGTGTCTCAGGGAAACCTCAGGGGCTCAGAGCTGCCACCTGAAAAAGGCCTTTTATTCAGGTGCATTTCCCTTTGCCAAACTCACTTGGCTACCGTCTCACCCTCCGGGGCTGTGTATTCCGCAGACACATTTGGGAAACGTAGCTCCAGATGTTAATGCTGTTTCGTGTTCGGGGAAGGGAAGGTACAGGTGTCTCACTTCCACAGGTGGCCTTCATGAACCAGCGCCGCGTGGATTTCTACCTTGCCTCCATCGAAGACATGCTTGTGGCCGTCGGTGGCCGGAATGAGAACGGAGCTTTGTCTTCAGTAGAGACGTACAGTCCCAAGACCGACTCCTGGTCCTACGTGGCTGGCTTGCCAAGGTGATCTGGGGCTTGAAGGAAGGCTCTCCAAACAGGATGGTTTTAGGGACATAGTTCAGTGCATGTGCCTCACATTCTGGGCATGTTGGCCTCCAGGAAAGAAACCTTCTGGTTTATCGGTAGCAGCAAGTACATGATGAGGGGCAGAGGGCATGGTGGTGCGCAGTCAGGGCTCCGGTTTCAGACTCAGGGCAAGGGTCAGCTCTGCCGCCATGACAGACGGGCGTCTCTCCATGGCCCGAGTCTGTGCCTTCACCGACTTTCAGAGGGTGAGGGACTGACCCGAGGACCTCCCTGAGGTTGCCTAGGAGGAACTCAAAGAGATGCTGGCATCTGTGCTAGATCTAAGATGCAAGCATGGGTCTTCACCCCGCTCGGTCTTCAGTTCCTCATCTGTAGAGTGAGGTGATCCTCATGCCTGCTCCGCAGCACTGCCGTGCAGAGCAGATGCAGTGCCGCTTGTGAACCTGCGTCCACGTGCAGGGAGTGCCCCAGGGTGGCCCTCACCCTCCTCAGTCTCCCTGAGGCCAGATGTGCATGTATCGAGCGTTCATTATCGTCATGGGATTAGCAGAAGGTGCACACCATTTGTTCCACCGGTTCCCTGTTGCTGTACCCAGCAGCGGACTTTTGGAACCAGCCTTTGCTGTGGAATACATCCCAAGAGGTAGAAGTGTGCGCGTTAAGCACTCATGTTTTTGTTTTTCTTGTTTTGAGATGGAGTCTCACTCTGTCACCCAGGCCGGAATATGGCACAGTCTCTGCTCACTGCAATCTCCGCCTTTCAGGCTCAAGCCATTCTCCTGTCTCAGCCTCTCGAGTAGCTGAAACTACAGGCGCACACCACCATGCCCAGCTAATTTTTGTATTTTTAGTACAGACGGGGTTTCACCATGTTGGTCGGGCTGGTCTCAAACTCCTGGCCTCAAGTGATCTGCCCACCTTGGCCTCCTAAAGTGCTGGGATTACAGGCGTGAGCCCCTGCATCTGGCCTTATTGATCCATTCTTATTCACTGGTTTGCATGATGGTTCCCACTTCCTGGCACAGTTTTGTGGGTTTTGAGGAGCGCAGAGCAACATGTATCCACCATTATACCATCATGGAGAATCATTTCACTGCCCTTAACGCCCCCCGTGCAGTCCCCATCCAACCCTACCTTCCCTCTCCCCACGACCCCTGGCAGCCACTGATTTTGCTGTCTTTATGGTTTAGGCGAAACTTTTCCCGAGCTCCAGCGCAGTTAGAATTGTACCGTACGTCAGATTCCCTCTCTGATGTGTAATTCACTGGGTGTGTGTGGGCCTGCTAGCGCATCGTTCTCGTCATTTCCAGCCATTGTGAAAGGGTGATGGTCCTGTGACTATCCCCATTTCCCAGATGGGGTGAGGGAAACTCAGAGAGGGTAGAGCTGGGTTCTGGCTCAGGTGGCCTGACTGCAAAGCTGTCTACTTCCCTGCCCTTACCTGCCATTTCTTGGCTAATGACAGCTGCTGTCTAGAAAGTATTCGTGGGCTGCCCACTCCCAGTATTCTTAAATCTTCATGGCCCCCTAAGACCGCAGGCCGTTCCCAGGCTCAGGGAGGGTAAGCCTGGCACAGCCCTGAGCTCGCTCTCTCTCTCTCTCTCTGTGCCCGTCGACTCTGCAGGTTCACGTACGGCCACGCGGGCACTATCTACAAAGACTTCGTGTACATCTCGGGGGGCCACGACTACCAAATCGGCCCCTACCGCAAGAACCTGCTGTGCTATGACCACCGGACGGATGTGTGGGAGGAGCGGCGGCCCATGACCACGGCGCGTGGCTGGCACAGCATGTGCAGCCTGGGCGACAGCATCTACTCCATCGGGGGCAGCGACGACAACATCGAGTCCATGGAGCGCTTCGACGTGCTGGGCGTGGAGGCCTACAGCCCGCAGTGCAACCAGTGGACCCGCGTGGCACCGCTGCTGCACGCCAACAGCGAGTCGGGCGTGGCGGTGTGGGAGGGCCGCATCTACATCCTGGGCGGCTACAGCTGGGAGAACACTGCCTTCTCCAAGACCGTGCAGGTGTACGACCGCGAGGCCGACAAGTGGAGCAGGGGCGTCGACCTGCCCAAGGCCATCGCCGGGGGGTCCGCCTGTGTCTGCGCCCTGGAGCCTCGGCCGGAGGATAAGAAGAAGAAAGGCAAAGGCAAGAGGCCCCAGGACCGGGGCCAGTGACCCCACCGTCACCTCCCAGGCCCCTGTAGACCAGCAGCGACTTCTTAGAATTCCGGAAACATTATGTACAACTTAGCAGCTTTTTTTACTTTTATGATTCTTGGTATTTCTATGATATCACAGTAACCAATTAAATACTCTCTATAACTTCACATAATCTTGCTTGAATAACTAACCCTGGTCCCAGGCAGTGAGCAACCCCTTGTACCTTTGCTGGTCTTTGTTCCATGTTGCCATTCCTCTTTGGGTCCTTCCTCACCGTCCCCCCGAGAGTAGCTGGCACTTGGGTTACTCAGAAATTTTTGTAGTGAAGCTTGCGGCCTCAAAGGGATATATATCATAGATCACCTAGTCCAAGCCTCCCCAAACCTAACTGAGCTTTTAAGAGCACTGATTCCTGAGCCCCCTCAGAATTATGGAATCCAGAACCACCAGGAGCAGGGATAGGGTGGAGCCCAGAAACTGTATTTTAACTGGTTCTTGGAATTCTGGGCATCAGCCACATCTGGGAATCACTGGCAAGGTCAGGTGTGTTTGTTTTATGAGTGATAGGGCAGAGACTCCCAGGAGGGTGGGTGGGTGAGGGAGTGACGGGGGCCACGCAGCTCCCCGGACCGTCAGGTGAGCTGTGGCAACTTCCCAGCAGGGAGCTGTTCTCCATAGCAGGTGAACATTGCTTCTGAATAATTCCAGCTTTCCTCATTGGAAACCTTCTTGAATTCTAAAAGGTTACAGGCAACCAAGAATGAAGATAGGTATGAAGCTCTTTAGAAATATTATTCTGTAATTGGTACATTTTTTTCCTCTTGCTTTCTTTCTTTTTTTTCTGAGCTCACTATCTTTTGTATTACTGATGTACTCAGCTCCCCACATCTGTTTATTTCTCAGGAAAGAAAAAGTGATCGCTACAGAATTTGTGATTGTTCTCTGACTCTATCTCGAGGCACCGTGTGGATCCCTGAGAAGGCAGTGGAGGTCCCCCCTCAACTCCCACGCCAGGTCTCGCCCCAGTTTTCTGCTGCTAAGTAGATTCGTGCTGCTGGGCAAATTCTTGAAGAAATAGGCTTGTTCCCTCACCCCCCTTGCCGCAGGGTTAGATGAAATGCCCTCCAGGCCCTCAGGTGTCAGGGCTCCTCAGTCTCTCTGAGCTGTTCACACCCTGATGGCATCCCTTCTAGGATGCACTGACTCCTCCTAGAGCAGGTATCAGTGTCGCTTTCCCTTTAGGAGGGCTCTGGGCTGCCCGAGTGGATGAGAAACGTGCAGAACTATGGGAGGACAGGAGTGTGGTGGGTTCTAAGCATGGGCCAAGGAGGGCGTGAATGAGCTGAAGGCAGAGATCAGAAAACCTCAAGATGGGCTTCATCTTCATTCCTAGCCTATCACCAGTCTTCCCGCAGACAGTTCTGGGAGCAGGTGTCCATGTCGCTTGCCCTTTAAGAGGGCTTTCAGCGGGCCAAGTGGATGAGGATCTATGTGCTAAGATTGATACTAGACAAGGATAAAAATCGTAGTTAACATTTATTTCCATTTCTTCTGCTTCTTTACGGCGCCTCCTTTCCCTTCTCTGCAGGGTTTACTGTGTTGCCATTGGTCTGTTTCTGTAGCCATACAGGAGAGAGGAGAGCGTTTGGGGGACTGAAAGCTTCAATAGCCAAGTGCCTGCCCTCCACTGTGAGTGCGGTGAGCAACAGCGGTGAGCAGTCTGCGTCTTTAGCTAGCTGGTCATTTGCATGTGAAGTCCCTGGAGGCGGACAGACTGTTGAGAGGCTGTGCGAGGCAGACAAAGCCAAAAGCTGTGAACTCTGGAGCTCTGCAGCGCTGGCGTATGAAAGGCTCTGAGAAGTCCTGCATTCGTTTACCCTTCCATTAACCCAGCATTTCCAAACTTCTTTGAGCCTGAAACTCTTTTTTGTCTCGTATCTAGTCCCAGGCCCCCACAAAACATGTTTTGCAGAACTTCCGCCGACTTTGTGATAGCTCACCTCCTTCCTATTCTGGAAAGGTTTTACTGCTTAAAGACCCCCCACAAGGTAGGAAATGGTACACGCAGCCTCTCCTCCCCCGCTCAGCCTAGGTCATGAACAAATGGGTGCTGGTTTGACCTGAATCTCGGGCTGCTGGGGAAAGCACATAGAAAGACTCTGTGAGTGATTTGGGGAGAGGATAGCTTTGACCCTGGGAGGGGGGAGGGCCACTGGTTTTTAGCCTAAGCCAACTCTTCTGTGTTTTGCTTCTGGGACTTGTCCCTGGAGATGTGTGAACTGCTGGCTTCCATTCTGACTTTCTTGTGCCTCGTGGGTTACATGCGACATCCTGTGCCTAAAATTTTGTGGTCTCTCCTGAGACTATTAAGGTGGTTTGTAATTTACATGGCTTGGAATCTAATATTAATCAGGTTGGCAGCACTCCTTAGGAGAATAAACCAGTTTCATCTTGTGGGCCAACTTCTAATATCTGTTGGTGACTACACTGTGACGAGAAAGGTTTTTGAGCTTGTTGGGGTCAATAGATGGGCACAAGGGTGCCATGTGGTAGTACCTGGGGCAGGGTTTTGTTACTTGTGTTTGTGAGTTGAAAAGTCACTCTGCTGTGCAGTCTAACTGAAAATGGAAGAGACCACGCCTGGGCAACATGGCAAAATCCCATCTTCACACACAAATATATATATATATATAAAAGATTAGCCAGGGATGGTGGGACATGCAGCAGTCCCAGCTACTTGGGAGACTGAGGTGGGAGGATCACCTGAGCCTGGGAGCTCACCTGCAGTGAGCTATGATCATACCACTGCACTCCAACCTGGGTGACAAAGTGAAACCCTGTCTCAAAAAAATAAAATGGTGCTTAACTCCGATGGGCAGAGTTTGGGCTGGACCTATGCAGTGGCCCTTTGAACTGCGCAGTCACGATAGTAGGGCTTCAAACCAGAGTGGCGAAGGCACAGGCTCCTGCGGGCTGCCATTTTGAGATGGAAAGAGCCACGCGTGTCACCATGTTGTCAAACTGTCCGTGTTGTTAAACTGTCCGTGCTTCAGGCCGTTCTGCGGGAATTTTGAGGACACCTGGATCTTTTTTATTTTTTAAATCTTTCAAAAGAAGCCTGGCAGGCTTCTATTTAGGTTTGGGCTTTTCTCGTTTCTAAAGAATTAAAGTTGTAACTTCATGTTAGTTGCAAGTTTGGGGTTTGGTCCTTACCCAAGTTGGAAAGCTGTTTGCCTAAGACATAAAGGTATTACCCTTACAGAAGGGAGGGAGTAGACAGCTGACGAACCCTTGTTGCTTATAGCGATCTTTCTGCTGTTTAAAATGCACAGAGATTATTTTATCACCTTACTGTACTTGGCATGAAATTGGTATTTTTATCCTTCTGCCATTCTATTGAGGCTACCAAGTGGGACTTCAGACCTTGCTCTGAGCAGAACCACATGTGTGTATTTTTATTGAGTGCCCCCGCTCATGATGAGGCGACCTCATGGAGACCCAGAAACTAACCCTAAGGGGTGTTCAGCTTTGAGGTGGGCACCCAAATGATGAGGGGGAAGTGGGGATCATCCTCTGAAGTCCAGGGTCGTACTTTGTGAGCTCAGGTGTGTTCACCTGTGGTTCAGTGTACCTTGGCCCCTAAGCCAAGTGACCATTCAGTGACTTGCAGCAATTGGGAAGTGAAAGGACCTCTGCCGCCCCCAACCCCCTGTAGAGCCGCTGACCTTCACCCTTCACCCTGGTCCTCCATGGTGTAGCAGCATCTCACGGGCCTTGTGGCTCTCAGAGTTTGTGGCTGGAACCCGCCTGGAGAGGCAGGTGCAGATGAGGTTTGGACCTCCTGTGTCTCCATGGACTCTGAGTGCCTGGGAGGGGAGGGAAGGGCGTGGCATCCTGGCCTCCAGGATGAATGCCTGGGGTATAGGGCAGCGCCATGGGCATGTGGAGACCCTGTCCTGTGCCTCTGCCAAGCCTGGCAGTTTTAAGAGTTTTTTGAAATGTTTTGATACTTTTTGATACAATTTGCTAATAACCATTTTGTAGAATGCCTGCCGTGGTTCTCCACCTCATCCCCTTCCTCCAGCCCCTTGATTTGTGCTGGACGTCACATGGCCAGTGGTCTGCACTAGGACCTCGCCCCCTGTGGCTTTGTCTTGGATCTTGCCCTTTGTCGCTGATCCAGTACAACTCTAGAATTTTGTGAATTTGCATGCAAAGTCGCACGCGGCCCGTGGGTATGACTGTCTCAGACCCTCAGCTGATTTGCCAAGAGGAAACCTTAACTCCCTTGAGAGGGTCTGGGTTTCTTCCAAAGCTCCTACCTCAGTGGTGTGCACAGAGTTGGAGAGACACCTGAGGGCTGGTCCATGTCTCACCTTTGCCATACGGGTCACTTCTCGATCAATATATGACTGGGGTCCTGGTTTACTCCCGTCCACCCTTTCTTTTAAAGTATTCTTAACATGAAATCCACAGAAACAGTGAACCATTCTTGCACTTTACAGAATCATTGTCTTTAGCTTTAGAAGCTGTTAATTTCTTGTTGTTGTTTTTAACATGAATAGTATTTGTGGCTTCTGAAGGTGTGTGGGGGTCTCAAGAAATTGTCCTTTGTGGCCGGGCAAATTTGTCCCAAAGTGCCGGGCAACCTGTAATCCCAGCACTTTGGGAGGCCGAGGCAGGTGGTTCACCTGAGGTCAGGAGTTTGAGACCAGCCTGGCCAACATGGTGAAACCCCGTCTCTACTAAAAATACAAAAAATTAGCAGGACTTGGTGGCAGGCATCTGCAGTCCCAGCTACTCGGGAGGCTGAGACAGTAGAATCGCTTGAACCCAAGAGGCAGAGGTTGCAGTGAGCTGAGATCACACCACTGCACTCTAGTGTGGGTGAGAGCGAGACTGTCTCAAAAAAAAAAAAAAAGAAAAAGAAAAGAAATTGTCCTTTGGTTGCCTTAGTTACTAGAGTTGAATGAATGTACACATTTGGTATTGGGGGGCCGGTGGGGCAGGGGGAGCAGAGCAGATAGATAACCCCTTCCTTGTCTATTTCCTTGGAGAAAAGAGACTCCATCTTTTCAAAGTGACTTAAAGCCATCTTTACAGATAGCTTGTAATGTAAGCAAGGAGTCATGTCCTTTGGATTGATTGAGGTTAAATCATCAACCACAAGCCGCCTTTCCAAATCAGCGAGATATTTGATGATTGTGATTAATCGGGTCTGTTCTGGCTGCTGATGTTACTGAAATCTGCAATCGTGTGTGTTTTTTAATTTGTTGCTTTTGTATTTGTGATTTTATGACATTCGAAGTTATTCTGTGTCTTAACTCTTTTTAATTAATTTTCTGCACGTTGCTTTTTTCTTTGTTTTTAATTCCATACACAGTATTCAATTCTTGAAACACATTAAAATAATTTGCTTGCTAGAGTATGGTTTATTTTATAATTACGTTCCTAGTCTTGTGTGGTTACTGTAATGCTCTCTGGTCCTAATTTCTCTGCCCATATGAAAGAAAGAACCCCTTGCATGTTGATCCTAAATATAATTTGGAAATTAACTAGACATCCTTTTAGTGTTGTGGGAGGCTGGGACATTTCAATTCTGCTTTCATTGTGTTTCTAATTACTGTATTTTGCCAGGAATTTCATTCAGATCCTTGATTGCATCGATAAGTCCCCATGACCCGAAATGAAACCATTTGCTTAGATGCGTGTCAATTGGGGTAATTTGATTAGAAAAGAAACACAGAAGCTAAGGGAAACAGATTATGGCAAGTAGTGCGCTATCTCTATCAGAAAAATGCAGTCACAATACTATAAGAACAGAACCAGCTGTTTCCCTTCTGGCGCTCTCCTGCCTTGCTGGGGTTTTGCAAGGCCCACAGCAGACAAGCCCAGTCACAGTTGTGTGCCCTTTCCCTGTCGGGACGGTGCAGGAGGGGTACCTGCACAGCCATCACACGTGGTGAGGTGGTTGGAATTTGCCTCTGAGCCAGTGAGCCCCAAACAAGACCTGCCAGATGCTGACTTCCTCACCTGGGTTCTTTCCCATCCGCTTCAGAAGCATCTCAGGCTACGTTGATACTCTCCCCATTTTCCAGGTGAAGAATCCAAAGCTCAGGTTAATTACTTACCCACTTGAATTATCTTCCCTGCCCAACCAGTCAGTCATTGCCTTGGTTTGGGTTCTCTCTGTCTTTTTTTTTTTTTGAGACGGAATCTCGCTCTGTTGCCAGGCTGGAGCGCAGTGGCGCAATCTCAGCTCGCTGCAACCTCCACCTCCCAGGTTCAAGTGATTCTCCTGCCTCAGCCTCCTGAGTAGCTGGGATTACAGGGGAGAACCATCACGCACAGCTAATTTTTGTATTTTTAGTAGAAATGCGGTTTGACCCATCTCTACTAAAGATGGGTCAAAAAGTTGGCCAGGATGATCTCGATCTCCTGACCTCGTGATCCACTGCGTACCTCGGCCTCCCATATTATTGGGATTACAGGTGTGAGCCACTGCATCCGGCCAGTTTGGGTTCTCTTGAATGCAGAACCTTAGACCAGGACTTGGATACAGGTAGGTTTGTGAGGTGTTCCCAGGGAAGCCAGAATGCCAGGAGAAAGGAGGAAAGGCCCACAAGGAGGTGCTTTATTGCTGAGTAACAAACCAATCCCAAGCCACAGCTTCCGACAATATTTGTCATGGTGGACGACTGCAGGTGGATTGGGCTGAGCTCGGCGGCTCTCCCCGAGGCTCCTGCATGGTCACATGGTCATGGACAGGTAGTGGCTCTTGAAGGCGGGAGAAGAACACACAGAGGGCTCCTCCAGCATCTCCCTCTCCCTTCCTTCCCTCTGCCTCTCCCTGCCTTCTCTCCTTACTTCCCCTTCTCTTCCCTGCCCCCCAATCTCTTTCTCTTTCCCTCCTTGTCCACTTTGGTCTCACTCTTTCTGGTCTCTTTATATGGTGGCCTCACCTAGATTGCTTACATGGCAGCCAGAGGCTCCCAGAGCAAACATCCCAAGTGGAATGAGCAGAGACCCCATGGCTTCTTCCAGCACCGCCTGGGAAGTCAGGGTCTTTGTTTGCTGCATGTCACCCCTTGAGGCCATCAGAAAGACTCCCCCAGGTTCAGGGTTGCTGGCCCCGTGGGAGATGTCAGCCATGTCCCCTCCCCAACCCTGAAATCCTGTCTCTAAAACACAGAGGAGCCGGGCCCAGTGGCTCACACCTATCATTCCAGCACTTTTGGAGACGTAAGCTGGGGGATCGCTTGGACCCAGGAGGTTGAGCCTGGGCAACACAGGGAGACACCTGACTCTACAGAAAAATTTATTTTAAGACAGAGTCTTGTTCTGGCACCCAGGCTGGAATACAGTGGCATGATCTCAGCTCACTGCAACTTCCACCTCCTGGGTTCAAGCGATTTGCCTGTCTCAGCCTCCCGAGTAGCTGGAATTACAGGCATGAGCCACCACACCCAGCTAATTTTTGTATTTTCAGTAGAGATGGGGTTTCACCATGTTGGCCAGGCTGGTCTCAAACTCCTGACCTCAGATGATTGGACCACCTCGGCCTCCCAAAGTGCTGGGATTATAGGTGTGAGCCACCGCACCTGGCCAAAAGAATGTTTTGTAATTAGCCAAGCATAGTAGCTCACACCTGTAATC